CTGGGCCCCCGGCCCCCAGCAAGCCGGCCGAGAAGCAGAGGGCGCCCAGCCCGACCCCCGCGCCCAAGCAGAGTGGCCTGGACTCCGCAAAAGCCAAACTCGGCTCCCCGCCACCGTGCCAGCCTCCCGGGAAAGGCGACGGGGCGCAGCCTCTACCTCCCCGAGAGACCCTCTCCAAGGCCACCCCAGAGCCCAGGATGCTGGGCGGTGTCTCCGGGGCCAGGTCCAGCCCAGCGCTGCAGGCCTCGCCCTCGACCAAGCAGGAGCCAGCCGAAGAGGGCCCCCCGGGGAAGCACCTGGACATCGTCAGCATCTTCAAAACCTTCATTCCAAAGGACCTGGCCACCCTGTACCAGAGCTGGGGCTCCAGCGGCCCTGCCCTGGAGCACCGAGGTAAGCGCGAGCTCACCCGGCCTGCCCTGGGAGGTGGGTGCCACCCTTCTCTCCAGCCCCACGCACACCCAGGGAACGCGCGTGGATCAGGTCGGGGTGGCTGGCCTTTCACATTGGGACCCAGCTGGGAGGGTCTGACCACCCTGAACTTAGAACCTCTCCCCCTCCCACGATGCACCCTCAAAGCACTCAGTGGGATCGGGGTGAATGTTCCCCCCAAAGGACCTGCCGTTGCCTTTGATGAGGGGTAGATTCTATTCCATGCAGAAGCTGAGGGGGGTCTCTCTAGTCCACCCCGGGTCCACTAACTCTGGTCCCCAAGGGAAACTTGAAGTTCAGTTCCTCTCTCTGGACTGGCCCCTGTCCCAGCAGGTCCCGTTTGGACCCTCCGGTGCTGTGGCTGGGTGGTAGAAAGATGCGGCTGTCTGTGCCCTTCAGGGTTTACAGCCTTGACCTTGACCATACAAGGTCTACGTGAATCTGGATCAACCCGATGGCGGGGAGCTTTCTGGTTGTTGGGTGCTTAAGGAGCCCTGGTTGGGGAACTGTGGGTCAGGCCCTGATAATCACAACACCGGTGGTTCAAACCCACTGGCGGCTTCTCTGGAGAAAAGAGGCTGTGTGCTCCTATGGAAATGTTGCCTTGGAAAGATCCCTATGATACAGGGTTGATTCCCCAGCAGAGGGTTCCTGGCTCTTTGATACATGTTGGGCTGTCGGCTGTTTGAAACCGCCATCTTCTCTGCCTGCAGGAGCGAGACGGGCCTTGTGCTCCTGTAGGGTTCCTTCTCAGGACCACGCAGGACAGTTCTACCCGGTCCTACAGGGTCGCTCGCTCTGAGTCGGCATCGCCTTGATGGCAGAGAGTTTGTGTTTTCGTTTTTTAATGAAAGCACTTGCTCTTGATGGCCGGGCACCGTCCACTTCCTCTGGTCTGGGCGAACCCACAGAGGCAAGCTGCCTACTGATCCCTGGGTCTCCTCCTTCCTCTTGCCCTGTGCCTGGCCCAGTTGCCTTCTGGCTCTCCCGCTGCGCAAGGTCCAAGGGCTTGTTTCCTACTGTGGTAACCTGGTGCGCTTCCCCAGTGCCCATCGACAGGCCAGGCCGACTGCAGGGCACCCCTCCATCTTTACTGTTTAAAGCTGGTCCACCTATCTTAGAAGATGGTTGTTGGAAGGGGCCATGTTGGCAGTTATTCATAAATGCCTTGTAAGGGCCAGGGTGCATAGCCGCTCAGAGTGGGGGCCCTTCCGGAGGGCTTTGTGCTGATAGCCAGGAAAAGGTACCCCTTAGGCCGGCTTTGCCCCCTCCTCACACACACCCTAGTCTGCCGGAGGCTCCTCCTCCCTCCACACAGGTCTGGTGGTGGCTTTTTTCAGAAGTGTAGGTGGTGCCCCCTCTGACACGGGTTGAGGACGCTGCCCGACTCCGAATCTGCACTGACGGTCTGACCCCCACAGACCGCCCATTGACCAGGCAATCCCAGAGTGCTTAGGAACAAGTGAGCGGAGCCTCCGTGGGTGCTCTTGCCAGGCCCCAGGGTGGCCCCGCCCTTCTGTGAGCAGGGTGTGTGCCCTATCCCTGTGCTCTCATTTAAGGGGACACCTGTGATCCCAGGAGCACTGCTTCCCCGGGGGTCAGTGGTTCAAACCTACCAGCTGCTCTGTGACTGCGCCCATGAAGACTCTCGGCCTGGGAACCCCCAGGGGGCAGTTTACTCTGTCTTGCGGGCGTCCCTGGGAGTCAGAATGGGCTCCTGTGACCCAGAACCCCAAACTCCAGGCCACTAGGAGCTCCGGAGAGCAGAGGGTTGGGGTTGGTTTTGGGGTCCTCGTGTGGCCTGCCCCGTGGCTGCACTTCTTCCGTCTGGACAGGCAGAAATCTGCAGGACAGCATCTTCTAGAACAGCAGTTCTCAACGTGTGGGTCGCTACCCCTTTGGCGGTCAAATGACCCATTTATAGGGGTTGCCTAAAACCACCGGAAAACACGTATTTCTGATAGTCTTAGGAACCAAGACACCGCTCCTCTATCCATCTCCAGGCTGGTCCGCCCACACGTAGGCACACCCACACGTGAGTAGGCACACCCACACGTGAGTAGGCACACCCACACGTGAGTAGGCACACCCACATGCGAGCACCTGGCGTGAAGACTGTTACCCATGCTACACCATGCTTCCAGACAACATTCCATTTATTTGTCATTAGAAATACATATCTGACAACGTAGTTACATATTGTTTTTTGATTAATAACTGTGATCTAATTGTGTTCAATTTGTAACTATGAAAATATATCCTGCATATCAGATATTTACAGGATGATTCATAACAGTGGCAGAAATAGCAACAAAGATAATTTTATGGTTGGGGGAGGAACTGCATACAGGGTGGAGGCATTAGGGAGGTTGAGAACCGCTGGTCTAGAAGAACCAGGAGGCTCTGTTTAAACGTGAGCAGTCGGCCCGGCGGCTCCTCTGGTTCTGGGTAGGTTGGAGAAGGGACCTGGGCCGTCGGTGATAACCCTGAGACCCCGAGACTGGTGTTTTATTCCGGAGTTGGGTGGTTTGACTGGGAGACGTTACCTCAAGAGATTGATCGCCAAGAAACCCTGCCGAAGAGGAAGGGCAGGCGTGACCTGGACATGGCCACTGCACTTCCCACAGAGTGCCCGAGGGGCCGGGTTCTGCCATCGTCCGTCAGGCTGGGCCGTGTGGGAACAGCCGTGGTAGCAACACACTAAAGCCTGTGCGTGCCCACGCGTGGCCAGCCTCGGCTGAGAGAGTGCGGTGTCAGAGTCAAACACGGGGTGTCGTGGGGAAGATGGGCTTGGACCTTGATGGAGTGGGATCCTGGCTGCGGGACCTGGGGTGCAGGGCAGGGTGGTGCAGTGGACGCTGCAGGGCCGGGGTGCCCCTGTTTCTCTGCACTTCTTCTTGGGCGTCTTGGCATAAGCTGGGTTTCAAAGTCAGAGGGTCAGTGGTGTCTGCTGGCCTGTTCGGCTGTGTGACTTGTGTGTCATTCTGCCCATCTGGTCACTGGGACAATGCCTCCTTGACCACAGTGTGCAAGTGCCCTTGTGTAAAGAGAGGGAGAACGTGTAGAGAAACATGTGTGAGCAAACGTGCAAGTCAGTGTGATGATGGCGTGGCTGTGGGTGAGCCTTTGTGAGTGCTGTGGATATGAGTGTGTGTGGGTGACTGGATGCTGGGGTGTATGCACGTGTGTGCATGTGTGTGCACACATGTGGGTGTGTTGTTGTGAGACACACAACAGAAAGACCCCCTCCCTCCCCCGCCCGTGCTCACAGTCGGTCCATGCTGGGAGACTGCGGTTGGGGCCACGGGTCAGTCCATCTCCTTGAGGTTCTTGCGGTCTCCCGCCTCCCCTGGCCTCCGGTCTCCAAACACGGTGTTCCTCTTCAGGGACTGGTCTTTGCTGACAGCAGTCCGAGTACGTGAGGCACAGTCTGGCCTCCTTGCCTCTGAGGAGCACTGTGGCCATCCTTCTTTCCAGACGGATCCGTTTGTCCTTGTAGTGGTTTGTGGTTCTTTCCATATCCTTCTCCAGCGTCAGAACCCAAACACGCTGATCTTTTCTGGTCCTTGTTACTCAGCGTGCGACTTTCACATGCATGTGAGGTAACAGGACGTGCTATGACTTGGGTCAGGTGCACCGTAGTCCTCAAAAGAACGATCTTGCCGTTGCTGTCCCTAAAGAGGTCTTGTGCAGCAGGTTTACTACTAGTGCAGTGAGTCTTTTGATCTCTCGACTCTTGCTTCTGTGGCATGGAGTGTGGATCGATGCGGGATCCGTGGCAGGTCCACGTTGCCTGTTGCTGCAACGGGGAGGATTTGGGTTTCTTGGCACGGAGTTGCGGCCCACACTGCAGGCTGCAGTCCTCCATCTTTAGCAAGGTTGGGCCACCTGCCTATCCCATGTTGTTAATAATCAGCCTTCCTTCGATCCTGACGCCACGCTTGTTTGGTTTTTCGTATAATCCAGCTTCTCTGATGATTTGCTCGGCATACAGATTGAATAGGTGTGCATGAGTGTGAGATCTGTCTGAGTGTGTACAAGCATGTGAGTGTGTGAACACGAATGGGGGTTTGTGTGTAAGAGCTTGCAGTGTTGCACACAGAACTCAGGGCAGTGTGCACGATGGATGGATGGCCAGCCTTCTCTGCTCCTGAGTGTGCGTGCGGGTGCCTGGGAGTGTGTGCAGAATGGGTGTACCTGAGACAATCTAGAGGGCATGCACACGAGAAAGCAGAATCCGAGTGACCCTAGGTGACATCCACAGGACCACCAGTGGGCAGCGATGTCCAGGCAAATACGATTCCACGGTCACTCTTTGCCCAGAGCTGATGGTGGCACATGCCTTTCACGCTCACCGTGCCATGTGACAGTTGTTCACCTTGCCTTTGGGGTGCCCTAGGGCACCTCCACCCTCCCTGGGCCTGGACTGTGTTGCATCGCTGGGAAGAGGCAGCCTGTGGCCCCAGTGATGGCCCCTGCAGGAGCTGTCAGAACGGCGTCTTGTTGTGTCTGCTCAGCCAATCAGGGCCTCATCCCTCCTGTTCCGGATGCTCCCTCGGGGGCACTGGCCCCGTTTTCCCCATCTCTGTGCTGGCTGCTCACCTGCGTTGACCCACACTCCGCCTGCCCCCTCCTTGCGGCCTCCCGGGGACACGTGTGAGCGAGCACCGCCGCCAGGTGATGTGTGTGTGTGCTTTGTGAAAGGGAGTTTCAGGAGCTACTTCTGCGCAGGGGGTCAGCGCCTCAGGGAATCGCCTGGGGGCCTCCAGGTGTGTCCAGTCATCTGGGCTTCTGAGGGCCAAAGTGACCTTGATTTGCCTGTACGTACACCCGGCCTGCAAGCTGCCTGCCTGGCCTTTCCGTCTGTCTAGACACCGTTTCAAATGAGGGCAGGAGAAGCTGAAATGACGCGGGCTGGTCCAGTCACTCGGCTGAGGCTCGCTCTGCATTCCTGCCCTTGGTGGTTGGAGACCCTCAGACCTCCCACCTCCCACCTTGGCTACAGAACTACTCAGCCACAGAGACGGGGTTTGTCAAGACACATCACTCGGCAACTAACATTCACACCCCACACCCGCCCGTGGATTTGACTCACAGCAGCTGTGTTGGTCTGGGTTGATTAGAGAAACAAATCGGGAGACATTGATGTGTGTAAGGGAGGACTGTATATAAAAGAGTAATTGTACATCAAGAAAACACCCAAATCAAGTCCATAAGTCCGATATTAGCCCATCTGTCTGATACCAGTCTATAACGCCCTCTTCAGACGCACGAACACATGCAGGGGCGCCGAATGCAGGAAGAGCCCAAGCCAGTGGTGGTGGTAGCTTCTCAGTGCTGGCAGGGTCTCCATGGTAGCTCCTCCAGCTCCAGGGCTCTGGCTCCATCAGCGTAGCTCCATCTGGCTTGGCAACAGGAAGACCAAGCACACAGTGTGGGGCTGACCTCCAGGGAGCTATTTATCTCTGTAGGGCCTTCAAATGAGGTCATCAAGTTGCAACCTGATTGACAGGCTAGACGCCACCCCTTCACTCAAGTTGACAGAAGATTATGTGACTTGCCGCAGGGGGGCGGGGGTTCTGGGCCTCCTCCTCCCGTGCACGGTCCCTTCAGGTCCACCTTTCAGGTGTCTGTTCTGAGTCCCCCTGTGCGTTGGTGAAGCAGAGCCGGGCCGCCTCTGCGTCCCACTGCCGGCGAGCGAGACCTTTTCTTCAGAGAGAACGCACTGATATGGGCAGATGTCGGCCAGCACGGGTGCACTGGGCAAGCCCACGCTGCTCATCTGGAAGCTGGGTGGTTCCGGCCACCTGGTGCCTGGGAGAGGGCTGTGGCCATCAGCTTCCATGGCGACAAGGCCCAGCTCTACCCATCAGGCTTGCTGAGAGTCGGGGCCCACTCCTGTCACACAGAGACCTGTGCCTCCTTTGGAGTACAGTTGGGGGTTGGGAACATGAGGATAAGACAAGGCAGAGGTAGGGTCCTGGGTGAGAAACACCGTGTGGCTGGCAGGGTGATGGTGTCAGGGTAAGGCACAATGGCCTGAGAGACCTGGCCCCCTGAGCCGGTGGTCACTGCAATGCTGGCTTGCCTCGGGGACAAGGCTGCTCACCTGTGCCCGGGCCCGGGCAGGGACCCCTGACTAGCGCCCGGGACAGCAGCCGCTCTCTGCTGTGTGTCCACACTGTCTTCTGTCTGAGGGGGACAGGGCCATGGCCGCCAGGATCTGTCTGCGGACACCAGGAACAAATGGCTCAGGTTGATCGAAAGGTCCTTGAGCTGCATGCAGCCTGTCACCAGACCCAGGGGTGACACTCTGGGTAACACTCGCCCCTGCCCTCCCCTTCCCCCCACGCTGTCACCGCAGGGACACTCCGCCTGCAGGCCTGCCAGGGAGACCTCCAGTGTGCTCAGTGCGGGAAGCACTTCACCCAGCCCAGCCACCTCAGGGCCCACGCGAGGGCGCACGCAGGTACGGCCACCCCATCCCCAGCCCGGTGGGCGTGGGTTCCTAGGGATGAGACCAAGGCAGTCAAAGACAAGGTTTGCTGAGCCCAGGAAGGGAGACTGGAGGGTTGGCCCTCTCAAAGCCGAAGGCCGGAAACCACTGCGACCTTCCCTGGCCACCCTGCCCAGTTAGGTGTGTTTTCCGCCTGGCTGGCCGAGGTGTCCTAGGAGGCCAGCCTCATCAGATGAGGAGACGCAGT